GGCATCGTCGTGCGCATGGTCACCGGCGACAACATGGCGACGGCCAAGTCGATCGCGCTAAAGTGCGGCATCCTCTCGCCGAACGACGGGTCGCTGGTCATGGAAGGCACCGAGTTCCGTCGCCGCGTCCTCGACTCGAACGGCAACATCATCCAGAGCGAGTTTGACAAGATCTGGCCCATGCTCCGTGTGCTCGCGCGGTCGAGCCCGAAGGACAAGTACACGCTGGTCTCGGGTCTGATTGCGTCCAACGTCTATCCCCACGGGCCGCAGGTCGTGGCGGTGACGGGCGACGGCACCAACGATGCGCCGGCGCTCAAGAAGGCGGACGTGGGCTTTGCCATGGGCATTTGCGGCACGGCGGTGGCCAAGGACGCGTCGGATATCATTTTGATGGACGACAACTTCAAGTCGATTGTGAACGCGGTCAAGTGGGGCCGCAACGTCTACGACTCGATCTCCAAGTTCTTGCAGTTTCAGCTGACCGTCAACGTCGTTGCCATCTCGATGGCAGTGCTCGGCGCTGTCTTCATCGAAGAGTCGCCGCTCTCGGCGATTCAAATGCTCTGGGTCAACCTCATCATGGACACGTTTGCGTCGCTGGCTCTTGCAACCGACTCGCCGACCGAGGCGCTTCTGGAGCGCAAGCCGTACCCGCGCACCAAGCCGCTCATCTCCAAGAAGATGACCAAGCACATTGTGGGCCAGAGCGTCTTCCAGCTCGTCGTGCTCTTGACGATGACGTTCTATGGCGACGTCCTACTCGATGTACCGTCGGGGCACAAGACAGGCCCGTCGATCCACTACACGATGGTCTTCAACACGTTTGTCTTCCTCCAGCTCTTCAACGAAGTCAACGCGCGCCGCATCCACGACGAGCTCAACGTCTTTGAAGGCTTCTTCTCCAACAAGCTCTACATTGGCATCTCGGTGCTTCAGGCCGCGCTCCAGGTCATTATCGTGCAGTTTGGTGGCCTCCCGTTCAAGTGCAAGCCGCTGTCGTCGACGCAGTGGCTCATCTGCCTCGGCATTGGCGCCGCGTCGCTCCCAATCGGCCTCGTCCTGCGCTTGATCGAGACCAAGGACATGCCCAAGGGCATGGGTCTCCTCCGCGACGCCGAGCCGAGCGAAGGCTCGGCCGAGCGCGGAAAGGAGCTCTGGAGCCGCGGCGTCATGCGCGTCCGGACGCAGATCCGAGTCGTCAAGGCGTTCAAGCGCTCTATGGGCGGGCGCCAGCTCGCACTCAACAATTAGACTCGATGGGATATTTTGAGCGAAATCCAATGTATTGCTTGGCGTCATTCTTCTGCGACGATAAATATAAAGTATAAGCGCAGACCGAGGGCTGCGTCTTGGACGGAATTCACTGGGTCAGTGCAGAACAACCAAGTGTTTTGATTTGCCAAAATAAGGCATATCCACAGCTAATCAAATCATGTGCAAAGCGAAATCCAATTGGCGGAAATTATATGCCAAAAGATCGTGCAGTGGCAAAAAAAATCGCACTGGCATTCGCGCTTTCGGCCGAAGATGGACGCACCTCAAGACGAAGCCGACGAATGGTACGGATACGACAAAGAACGCGACGTGACCCTTGTGGTCGAGCTCGCGCAGTATGTCCCAGAGGAGCGGCGCGACAAATTGCCGCACAAGATTTTCAGTGCCCTCTTCCAGCATCCCCTCGGGCGTCCGCCGCGGCCTCTCGACAACCCTTTGTGCTGCGGTACCTTTTGCTGCGGTACCACGAAGGGTTGTCAAGAGGCCGCGGCGGACGCCCGAGGGGATGCTGGAAGAGGGCACTGAAAATCTTGTGCGGCAATTTGTCGCGCCGCTCCTCTGGGACATACTGCGCGAGCTCGACCACAAGGGTCACGTCGCGTTCTTTGTCGTATCCGTACCATTCGTCGGCTTCGTCTTGAGGTGCGTCCATCTTCGGCCGAAAGCGCGAATGCCAGTGCGATTTTTTTTGCCACTGCACGATCTTTTGGCATATAATTTCCGCCAATTGGCTTTCGCTTTGCACATGATTGGATTAGCTGTGGACCATAATGCCTTATTTTGGCAAATCAAAACACTTGGTTGTTCTTCCTATTGAAGTGACGAGCAAGGGGCAGCTGCGTCCGTTGCCTCAGCACCACTGTGGCTGTTGATGGCGAGGAAATTCGCGTAGCACGTACAAGAAGCAGTCGGCCCACGTCCCACATTTTCATTCCTGTGCTTGGATGATCGGTGGACGACCGCCACGCATTTTACGTTGGTACTGGTTAAGCGAATGCATTGGACTTGAACCTCAGTGCTGCATTGTCAATCCCGAGACCTTGAACACCAAGTCGAGACCTTAAACACAAAGGCAATTCGTGGCCACTTTCCGTTTTGCGCTACTAAGCTTAGTACACGACGTTCCCCGCCACACAGGTAACCAGTTTTACTCGGGTGTGGACTCACCGCGACATACCGGTAGGACCGCGTCGTCCATGAAGACGCGGTCCTATGTCGCGTACTAGTACGGGTACATCGAAAAACACCGAGAAACGTTGAGCGCCGGCGCTGGCACGCCGAAGGTCTCCAGGTCGACGTCTCTAGCGCTTGATGAAAGACGATATTGCCCGTGTATAGCCGACGCTTCCTGCAAACTCGTGACATATCTTCTTCCAACGCGCCGTGCGAGCCGAGAACGTCCGGCACTCCTTGATCTACCGCTTGGGCGGGCAGCAACTGGAGCCAGCGCTCGTGCAGGCGCTCGACGAGCGGCTCCAGCTTCTGGCGCGCGCACTGTTTCGACCTTCGAAGTACCATCAACGAAGGCGCGGCATACACGTCGCTCGACCATGTCCCCGAACGCGCCAAAGCAAACTGGCCAACGGCCGACGATGGATCGCAAGCTGCGAACTGCAGCCAATGGGACACCGTCCTCACTTCTGATTGGTCATTTGGGTGGTAAGGCGCTGGCAATCCCACCAATCAGAGGTCACCGATAGCTCAAAAGATCGCATTCACATGGGCGACAGCGTGTTTCCGCCACCGAAGCGAGTCAGCACATCAAGTCGAGTGGCTTTATACGTAGACATCCTCTTCCGATGATGACGCAGCCTCCTTGCGCGCACAAGATAACACCGACGATCATTATCGTACGAGCTTAGCGCAGAAGCGGTACAAGGCGGAGGCAGAGACCCACGGGCAACGAGAGCGCGCCAAGGCCGAGCGCGACCAGCAGCTGCGTCCACGTCAGCGGCTCACAGCTAAAGGCGACGCCACCAAACTGCGTGACGATCACTTGCACAATAAACTGGAGCAGAAACAAGCAAGGAAACGCACGGTTGGCCCCGACGCCCGCTAAAACGTTGCACTCGTCGCGGAGCTTGCGCGCGTTGACCTCGTTGAAGATTTGGAGAAACACAAACGTGGCAAAAACCATCGTGTAGTGCTTCGTCGGCGTCGGCGCGTCACGACCGGATGGCACACCGAGGAGGACGTCGCCATAGAAGACGAGCAGCAGGAGCAAGCACACTTGGAAGAGACTTTGGCCGACAATGTGCTTGGCCATCGTCTTCGAGACGAGGGGCTTGGTGCGCGGGTACGGCTTGCGCTCGAGCAGCGCGTCGGTCGGCTTCTCGGTCGCAAGAGCCAGCGACGCAAACATGTCCATGATGAGGTTAAACCAGAGCATTTGAATCGCCGTCAGCGGCGTTTTCGCCAGAAAGAGAGAGCCAAGGACGGTGAGGGACACCGCCGTCAAAATCACAGTCAGCTGAAACTGCAAGAACTTGGAGATCGAGTCGTAGACGTTGCGGCCCCACTTGACCGCGTTCACAATCGACTTGAAGTTGTCGTCCATCAAAATGATATCCGACGCGTCCTTGGCGACCGCCGTGCCGCAAATGCCCATGGCAAAGCCCACGTCCGCCTTCTTGAGCGCCGGCGCGTCGTTGGTGCCATCGCCCGTCACCGCCACGACCTGCGGACCGTGGGGATAGACGTTGGACGCAATCAGACCCGAGACCAGCGTGTACTTGTCCTTCGGGCTCGACCGCGCGAGCACACGGAGCATGGGCCAGATCTTGTCAAACTCGCTCTGGATGATGTTGCCGTTCGAGTCGAGGACGCGGCGACGGAACTCGGTGCCTTCCATGACCAGCGACCCGTCGTTCGGCGAGAGGATGCCGCACTTGAGCGCGATCGACTTGGCCGTCGCCATGTTGTCGCCGGTGACCATGCGCACGACGATGCCGGCGTCGTTGCACTGGCGGATCGCACCCGGCACTTCGTCGCGGACGGGATCTTCAATGCCGACGATGGCCACACACGTGAGGTCGCGCTCGATCTCGTCGTCCGACCAGTCCTTGACCTCGTCCATCGTCGCCTCGATGTCGCGGTACGCCAAGCAGAGCGTGCGGTACGCCTGGTTGGCGTACTTTTCGATCACGTTGTTGAGAATATGGCTCTTCACGTGGGTCTCCATCGGGATCGTCGAGCCGTCGAGGCGCAGCTGCGACGTGCAAAGCTCCAAGACGATCTCACTGGCGCCCTTGGTAAACACGCGGCACGTCGTCGCCGAGACGCGGACGACCACCGACATGCGCTTCTTGGCCGAGCTGAACGTGATCATGTGGCCAATCTCGCCGCCCTTGCGCACATCGGCGTAGGCGACGCCCATGTCGGCGGCAAACTGGAGCAGCGCGCACTCGGTCTTGTTGCCCGTGTGCTCGGGCTTGCCGCCCTCCTTGAGCGGCGGGAGGATCTCGGCCGTCGAGTTGAGGCAGATGCCGTCGCAGAGCGCAGCCATAGCATCCCCCGACAAGGCGGCGCCGAGGTCGGCCGCAGACGAAAACTCCGAGCCGCCGACGTAGCTTTCGACGACGGTCATGCAGTTGGTCGTGAGCGTCCCCGTCTTGTCCGAGCAAATGGTGGTTGCCGAGCCCATGGTCTCGCACGCGTCCAGGTGGCGGACGAGGTTGTTGTCCAAGAGCATCTTCTTGATCGAGTACGAGAGTGCAATCGTTACAGCGAGCGGAAGACCTTCGGGGATTGCGACGACGAGGACCGTGATGCCAATGATGAAGAAGCCGAGGTAGTCCGAGAGGAATTCTGGGACCACTCGGCCTTGTCGACGACGAACGCTTCGATCGAGTAGCGTGTTGCTAGCGCCACAAACACAAGAAGCGCCAAGACGACGCTCACCTTGCCGAGGAGCCGCATGACGGTGGCCAACTTGCTCTGCAGCGGTGACGCTGGCTCTGCTGCTGATGCTACTCTTGTCGTCGAGGTGGCCACAACGTCGGCGCGCGGAGTCTCGATGGCGCGGTAGTCGTCTCTCTCGGCCATGTTGGAGTCTTGGCCTCTCGACGACGGAAGTGTCTCGAGCGCCTTGCCGGCCACGAGCGAAGCGATCATGCCGGCCTGCGTCGACGCGCCGACGCAGAGCACGAGCATGCTCCCGACGCCCTCCATGACCTGGGTACCCGCGAGGACGATCTGCTTGGAGACGTACTTGGACTCGCCCGTCATCGTGCTCTCGTCGAGCTTGAGGTCATGGCTTTTAAGGACGAGGCCGTCGGCGGGCACGACGTCGCCGACCTCCAAGCGGACGATGTCGCCGACCACGAGCTGGAACTTGCGCACGAGATTCGGGCTGCCGTCGCGAAGCACCTTGATGCGCTCGTCTTCCTTGACGAGGTTGAGCGCCCGGAACTGCGCGTCTTTCGCGTGCTCCTGGTACGCGGTGACGAGGACGATGCTCCCGACGGCGAGGAGGATCCACGCGCCTTGGATCCAGTCGTTGGCCGCGCCTTGGGCGCCGCCCAGCAAGAGCGACACGACGCCCGCGCCAAAGAGAATGCGCAGCGTCACGTCCTACGCGTCAAATGTCCTTCTGGTCATGGGCAGAATCGAGTACCTCGAACGCCAAGCGCATGCGGGCGAGAAGCGTCAGCGGCGGGTCTGTGACCAAATCGTTGGTGCCAAACATGGCGGTCCGCCGGACCAGATCGTCCGTGTTGGCCGACGAGAGGCCGACGTCCAGACGTACGTCAAGCGCAGCCGCAAGGCCATCGACGCCGCCGAGAGCGGCGATCGCGTCGGCGACTCGCGCGTCGTCGGTCTCGACAAGGCGGACGAGGTCGCCAGCCAAGAGGCGCATCGACACCACTGCTGCAACGACGTACTATCCATCGTCCCACATGTATCCATCCATCGTCTCGTCAAGTTATCCGGAGAGCGCTTGATGTGGCTTGGAAATGGCGGGCCGCTGCGATGTGGCAGGCTGCTGCGATGGTATTATATCTCTCTCTACTGGTAGCTGGCAATATCGGGTTGGCCATTGCCAGAGCGGTGGAGCGTCGGACGAGAGAGGCTTCCCAAGTACGTTTTAGCTGCTCGAGCGACTACGAATTCGAGAAAAGACGGGTCGGAAATCATATGCAGAGGGACGAATTAATTAACGCAAACGTCGACCGAGGACGCTTACGGCTGCTCGTGGCTCACTTCGCGCAGCTTGCGGCTCAGCACGTGCACGAACGCGTAATTCTACACACAAAACAGGCGTCAGAACATCCCATCCCATGCCATCGCCGAGGCTCGAATACCTCGAAATCGGTGCCCAGCAGCGTTAAAATCGACTTGGCTTGCGCGCCGTTCTCGTACTGGAGCGCATGGAGCGTGAGGAGCGCGACAATGTGCTCGAGAAGGAAGACCATCGTCTCCTTGTGAAAGCCCGCGTCGCACGTCGCATGCTCGTCGACGAAGAGGGCGGCCTTCCACGCCTCCAGCAGCCGCTTCCAGACGTTCCACTCGTCGTTCGCAAACAAGGTTTTCTCGGCGCCTTGGAGGCGGAGGCGGCAGAACGCCATCGTGTGGCACAGCGTCAGGCGCGACGCATACAGCGCACTCTGCGCAAAGAGGCTCCACTTGCCATCGACGAGGATCTCGCTGCGCTCTTGCTCCGAGAGCGTGCGCGGCGCCAGCGTGCTCCACCACCCGCCGTGGAGCACGTGGAGGCCAAAGAACGGGAGCAGCGCGAGCAGTCGCTGCGTGAGCTTGTGCACCTTGGCCGCGCCGAGCCCCGACTCGAGCAGCGACGGGAACGCCGCGAGCGTCTTGAGCAAGAAGGTCAACAGCGACAGCTCCGTCACGTGGTTGAGCGAGATCGACGCCTCGAGCAGCTTGACGCTTGACGCGACGCGCTTCCAGTGGAAGCCCACCGACTGCACGAGGAGCTCCATGAGCTCCGTGTGCTGCGGCAACGACGCCGCCAGCGCCGCCAGGAGACGCAGCACGGGCAGCCACTGGTCGTAAAAGGCTTGGTCCGCCGCCAAATACGCGTCGAGCGGGCCGTTGTGGGGCTTGACGGGTCGCGACGGAAGGTCCATCGTCATGAGCGCACGCAGCGCGCCGCCTTGGAGGAGTGCCAGCGCCCCGTCCTTCGTGCCGGCCATTTGCGTCCAGAGCGAGAGCACAGACGGGAGCACAAGCGTCGACGCTTGCACGTCCTTCTTGAAGAGGCCGCAGAGGTGCGGCACCTGGTGCTGGAGCAACGGCAAGACGCTCGACGACGGCAAGCTCTCGAGAATGTTCATCGCGAGACCCATCGTCAGCGGCACGGTGACGTCGGTCGCGTCACGGCACACGAGCGCCACAAACGGCGCGTCGACGACGACCGCGGTTGCACTCGGTGCCGACGACGTCAAGACGTCCAGCTGCCCCGTCGACGAGCTCGATGCATGCGCCTCGAGGTACCGCAGTACGTGAAGGTAGCTCGTGTACAGGCTCGAGCGCGCGCGGCGGCCCGCGGCCGGGTTGCCACTTGTCGTCGTCGTGCTCTGGATCGCCTTGGTGCAGCGCTCGAGGAGAAGACGACGTTGGGGCGCCGAGAGCGGCGCCTTGTCAGACATGGCGCCGCGCAGCTGGAAGCTCATCGCGACCGTCACGGTCGCCGCCAATTCGACCAAGTGCGCGACGAGGCCGGGTGTCTGCAGCGTCGAAAAGACGGCGTCGAGCGTCCGGTGCAGCGCGGCCACCGGCGCCGCGTACTGCAACGCGGCGACTTCGACGAGCTTCCGCCACGCACCGAGCGCTTGGGCTTCGGCGCCAATGCGCTCCGAGTACCGGTTCCAGCTCAGCGCCCACTGCAGCACATTCGCGACGTTACTCGCCTTGTCGCGCGTCTCGACCGGCGTCCACGCAAGCGTCTCGCTGCGTTCGAGGAGCGCCGAGAAGGCCGGAACGTCAATGAGCAGCTGCCCGTCCTTCTCGAGCGTACACTGCTCAGCAAGACCGAGGCTGTGGGCATCGGACGGGCGACTCGGCGGCGCCAACGCAAACGGCGTCGCGTTCAAAAGACCGAGCAGCGGTGCCGACGGCGTCCAGAGCCACGAGGCGACTTCGGTGCACTTGGCATGGAAGAGCCAAAGCGCGAGGCTTTCGAGGAGCCAGCGGCGGCACTGCACGAGCGCCAATTGGTCCCGGTGCGCCGCGACGAGGTGCGGCAGCATCTCCTGGGCTTGGCGAAAGAGGAAGCAGTTGAGCGTCGGGCGACCGAGGCGCTGGAGCGTCAGTGGCAGCGTCGTCGCCGACGACAAGAGCACGTGCACAAGGCGGTAGCACTGTTCGGCGAGTGTCGGCGCCGCCGTAATCAAACTCGCATTGTCGAGGAAGAGCAGAATCGCATCGAGGGCATTCGCGCCGTGGGCCGTCGTCATGAGCGATGGCGTCGGCCACCCCAGGAGAAAGGTCGCGAGATTCGGCATCGGTTTTTGCACGTTGGCCAAGAGCAGAGCGAGGAGCGGCGTCTTGAGCGACGACGCCGGATCCATGAGCGACGCCACGACGCCGTCGATCATCGCACCGTCGACGCCGGCGTCCACAAAGATCTCGACGAGGCGCGACGGCGACGGAATGTTGCTGCTCAGCAGCGAGAGGAGCTGCACGGCAAGCGTCGCAATCGGCGCGTGCGGGTATCGGAGGTACTTGCACACCTTGACAATGTGAGTCGGCGACCGCGAGAGGAGGTTGGCGAGCGGCTCGGCGGCGCGGTCCTGAAGGCGGCTCTCGCGCAAAAGCATCAGAAAACGCTCTTCCTTGTGCATGGCCAGCAAGAGCATGTCCAAGATGAGCACGACGCAGTCCTGGCGCTTCGAGAGCGCGTTCCACGGGCGCACGTGGTCTTCGGGCTGCACGAGCTGGAGGCAGAGGTCGCTCGTGTACGCCGTGTGCTGGGCTTCGTACGCGCTCTCGAGCTCGTCGACCGACGGAAGCAGCGAAAGCAACATGCGCAAAACGTTGCTGTCCGTGAGAAGCTTGGAGAGCAAGTGGAAGCCGCTGGCCTTGGGCTTGAGCACATGCGTCGAGCCGTTCGTCGTGTTCAAGACGACGTACTCGTCGACAAAATCCGCCGGCGCCGGGTCGTAGCGCTGGAGCACGTCGTGGAAGAGGCCGAGCACGTTCTCGAGGAGCGTCCACTTGTCGAGCGCGTTGTCAAACTCGCGCGTGGCCATTTTGAGAAACACGTGCTCAATGACAAAGTCAAAGTACGGGCGGTTCCCGCTCACGCGGTAGCTGGACCCGCATTCGTCCGGAAACTCAAACTCAAAGAGCGGCCGGAGGAGCGCCACAAAGCCGTTCGTTGCCGGGTACGTGCGCTGCATCGACTCGATCTGCTCCAGCTCAAACTGAATCCCCGTGGTGGCCGCACTCGATGTCGTCGTGAGGATCTGCGCGGCCTCGAGGTGCTGCCAAAGGAGCTGCGCGAGCGGCGCCGAAATCACAAAACGCGACAGCGTCTGCATCACCGCGCCCTTGAGCGACGACGGGATCGAGCAGCGCAAAAAGCTCAGAAAGAGCAAGAGCACGTTGTTGTCGGGCCAGTCGAGGAAGAAGTGGACGATCGCACGGTTCCCGAGCACCGACTGGAAAATCTGCAGCATCGCGTCCAGCGCCTGGACCTCGGACACCTGGAAGCGGTGGCCCACGGCCGTCGTCGTCGTGCTCGGCGCCGACCCCGCCAGCGTCGGTTCATGCGAGAGCACGCGCCGGTAGTTGTCAATGGCGGCAAAAAAGTGCTTCCACGTCACCGGCGGCGGGCTCTCCTTGATGTGTTTGTACGCGAGCTCCGGGCACCCCGGGGCACACGACGAGAGGAGCTTCATGTAGGCGAGACGCGACGCATTCGTCGACTGCGACAGGGTCGCCGACGCCGTTAAAAACGGCTGGTGCGCGCTCCAGAACGTGCTCGCAAACGTCGGGTGCAGCTGGCTCAGCGCAATGCCGAGCTCGAGCAGCTGCGTGAGCGTATCGGGGGTCGAGACCGCCGCGTTCAGAATCGGGTGCGCCGCCGTCGCCGTCGTCGTCGGCAGCAGCGAGCCGTTCTTGTGCGCGGGAAAGAGGAGGCTCACGTAGGCCGAGAAAAAGTCTTCAAACGCGCCTTCGTACATGGCAAGGAGCGTCGATCCTTCGGGGGCGAACGGGAAGAGTAGCTGCACAAGCAGCATCATCCCGTTGTGCTTGAGCCCGGCGTCGTGCAAGAGCGTAATGTCGCTCTCTGTGACAAAGCTGAGCTTGGCCTGGTGCTGCGCAAAGCCGACGGCGCCGAGAAGGAAGAGCACACCGTGAAACTTGCATGTCGAGGGTGCCTTGAGCAGCTGCAGCACCTCGGTGGCGACGCCCACATCCGACGTCCACGCTAACGACGGACTCACGGCCTCGCTGGACGACCGGTGCACGCGGACCGACGACGTCTGCAGCGTCGACGCGAGCGCTGCGTGCGCATAGCTGAGCGAGTGCAACTGGCAAGCGACCTCCTTGACGTCGTACGGACTCTCCTCGGTTGAGAGACCCAGCGCGCCTTGGAGCGCCGTCGTGACGCTCGCACTCGTCTTCTGAACGCGCGATCCAATGGCGAGGCAGAGCGACACGAGCGCCTTGAGCTCGGACGGCAGCACGGGCGTGCTGGACGCAATGAGGAAAATGCATTCGGCGATCGTCTTTTGCCACACCATGGCCATGGCATGCATCGTCTTGTTCTTGAGAAGCGTCGGGATGTCGTCGGTGAGCGCGCGACAGAGGTGGCCGAGCAGGTCCTGCTGCAAGAGGCGGTTCGTATCTAGTAGAATCACATGAGGAGCCTTCGTACAAGCATACGAGATTGTACAGTCGAGGATCGCATCCTTCTTTTGCGCCGAAATCGTCGGCTCGAGACGGGCGCGGAGGAGCTCAAAGAGCGCGGTCAAGACGGCGTTGGTCTCGGTCAAAAGAAACTCGCGCGCGGCGCGGGGCACATTGTCACGCAGGAGCGCCGGCGGAAGACGGTTGCGGTGCGTCACAAGCGCGCGGTTGTCTGGGTCGCTCGCGAGGATCCAGTACTTCAAGCACGACATCTCCGAGAGGTGCAACTCGTCGGCCATCTCGATGATCTGCTGCTGGATGGCCGGGATGACCGGTACGGTCGACGGCGACGCGCTGGCCTCCGACCGCACAGAGATGGAGCCCTTCTGGAGCAGCGTCCGGTCGGCCGGGACGGGGACGTTGCCCAAGATGAATTGGAGCGGCGCGACGAGGAGGTCCTTGGCGGCGTCGAAGGTCGCGGCAAAGTCCGCGGACCAGTCGACCTGCGGCAGGAGGAGGAGGCTGACCTCCTTCTGCAGCTCATGCCCACGGAGGCTGCCCACGTCGACGAGGAGGAGCGCGGACCCGTCGGCCGCCGGTCCAACAACACCTGCCATTAGCCTAGCGAACCGAATTTGAATTGTTTGCCACAAAATATCGTGCAAAACCACGACTTATGACCAATCAGATCCACCAGCAACTCCCTTTTCAACCAATCCGATCGCGCATAGAAACCGGGCCAATCGACGCCATTGTTTTCCGGCGCTAAAATTCGGCATCGCGCCACGCCCTGCCTTGGCACAGGACGGCGCGACGGTGCGCACGACCTCCATCGCTCGGTACTCGACGCTATTCCAAGCAGAGCCTCAAGTCCAGGTACTCTTGCAGGCAACTATGTTCGTGTCTTTTTTTCCGATACGCCTCTTTGTGCACGGGTGGCCACACTGTAGATGTGGCATATGCCGAATTCGCCATCGCATCCGGATACCACCGACCAGAGGGCTGCTTCTTGGATCGCCGCCGCTCTCATAGCATGGGCGTCCAGTACCGAACCAAGACACTCCTGCATGTGACGCTGAGCGTGCCGACTGGCGCCGTCCCGCGCATCGTGCCGGTGTCCATCTACATCTTCCCAGGAGAAGCGCTCACCTGGTTCAACGAGCCCGGGCGTGACCCAACATACCTCAACCAGATCGTCGATGGCCTCGGCCAAGGATCCGAGTGGGCTTATCTACAGACGCAGATCGAGCGCGCAAGTCAGCCAGACAAGAAGGACAAGGCGCCGCCGTCGCGCGAGGTCGTTCTCGGGGCCATCAAGTTTACATACGTTGTCAAGCCGATCGGCCGCTCGTACACGGTGATGCGCCCGGGCGACGACGGCCGCGCGCTGCCCATCCCATTAAGCGCTGTCGAGGTCGTCGTGCACGCGTTTCCCAAGCACATGTCAACGAATGCGACGCAGCCATCGATCACGGACTTTCTGGTGCAGCAAGCAGACTAGCGAGCTTCCGCCAACGAGCGACGACCACTGGAAGTGCTGGCCCGCCACAATAGCCCATTGCCAAGACTGTCCAGACACCACGTCATGCGCATGGCCACCTGTAATCTATATTTCTCGATCCATGGTGTCAAGCGACGCCGTCTATTTCTCAGTAGAGCATGCCTGAAATCTAAGCGCTCGCCGGCGGGCGCGAGGCAAGGAGGAGGCAGTTTTCGAGGCTGTCGGTTTCTTCGCAGTAGTGCACGAGCTCGGCGTGCATGCCATGCGCGCGCAGGTAGAGAACCCGGCCCATATCGATGACGCGCTTGCTCTTGCGGCCGAGAGCCGTGCGCTTCTCCCGGCTACCTCGCTTTAGAACTGATGCCAGCGCATGCGATGATTGTACCTCCAGCCAAGGACCGTCTCGACGGCGTCGCCTTCAGTGCCCATGCCGCACGTCGCCCAGCCCGAGAGCGAGACGAGCACCTTGAAGTCCGCGGCTGAGAAGCCCTAACCCGCGACAATAAGACATGATCAACGACATGCACTCGAGCGTACGAGCTCTTCGAGGTACGTCGGGTTGACATAGTCGTCCCAGCTGCACGCGTGGTGGCAGCAGAGCGCTAGCATCAACCGATACGCACGTATTAATCACATAGGAAGGCGTCGTACCAATCGCAAGACCGTGCAGGTGCGGGCTCATCGCGTTGGCTTGGACTGGTGGCAGCGTCGTCGCGAGCGCTCGCAGCGAGAGGTCGGTCGCAACGCCGCAGAGGTGCTTGGAGAGACACACGAGCGGCGTCTCGGTCGCCTCCTTCATGCCCGCGAGGTTCAGATGCCGAATGTCGATTTTGGCGCGCGTGCACGTGCTTTCCGTCGCAATGTACTGGTCGGCCTTGCCCCGCGTGCCGGCGCGATCTATGAGAATGAACGGCGACGCCGGGTACAGCTGCGTGAGCGCAAGCGACAGCATCGCGCGGCCCGCGCCGAGCTCCATGTACGTAAACGACTTGTGCAGAAGGCTCTTGCGCTCCATGTGGCCGATGATCGACGCCTGCTGCTGGATGTGGCGCAGCGCACCGTGCGACGCGCCAGTCGCTTCCTTCTCCACGAGGAGCTTGGTGCACGCGTCGTGCTTGAGCGTCTCGGTCGGGATCGAGCCAACGGCCTTGGCATACGCGGCCTCAACCTTGGCAGCAAAGGCGGTGTAGTCCATTTTTGCCTAGTGGAATGGTGCGCTTGGTCGAGGTATTTTGCTGTGTTGTGTATTACCAGGATTTGGAAGATGGACGCTTGGCGCGCCGCCGACGGCGCTTCATGGCTGTTCTCCTCCGTCTCATTGTCGGGCTCATCGACGCTGACATCGGTGTTATCTTGCGGCGCGGCGGCGTGCGACCCCGAGTTGATATTGCGCGAAAAGTACGGCAGCGCCTGCATGGCCTCGGCTTCCTTGAGCTTGTTGCAGACCTAGGACGATCTATACGCGGGACATTCATCCAGGCGTATAGCGACGAACCACCAAGTGCTTCTTGAGGTCGTAGAGGTACACCGTGTGCGACGGGTCGAGCGTGCAAGGGACACGCTGCCGCATCTCGGCCTTGAACTTCTTCGACTTGTTGCTGACGACGCCTTCATCACGCTCAATGTGGTTGCCGCAGTAGAGCGAGCCTGCGACGCTACAAGGATGCAGCGTCATGAGGCACGAACGAGCGCACGACGGCGTCGCACCGGGCCACGTTGCAGTAGCGGGCCTTGCGCTCGAGCTTGAACATGCACTGCGTCCACTCGCCGTCGGCGGCCGCCTTGAACTTGTCGCGCTTGCGCTTCGAGCGCTCGTTCACGACCGGGTTCTTGACATCGCGCTTGGCGCCGGCGTCGACTGCGGCGTCCGGGCCGGCTTGGTCTCCATCTCCAATTGTTGATTGACCAATGGCCACGGAGGCTAAAAACACCCGACAATTCGTACATGCATCTGAAAGGTCTGGCGTGCACTTGACAGGAAAGCGTCGAGGTACGATCGTACCTATCCTATATGCACGCTACCGCAGGCTTGTCGCTGCCAAGGATCAGGGAGCGGAAGGACTTTCTTCTTGCATGCACCTTGTGCCGGCTAAGGTGGCGTTGCTCTAGATACTGTAGACTGCGCTTTATTGTCAAAATTCCACACCAGTTCGGCTCGACGGGGCGCGATAGCCGGCCGTGTCGGCGGCGTCGAAGCAGGTGCTACCATCGTTGGATAGAATGCCGTCTGCGCATGGCGTCTAAGATCTCAAGCCTGCGGTTGGTGGTCTCGAGAGGCACCGGATGTTGCTGGACTAACCAAGGAGGCAGTGCAAGATCTGGCGCCGAGTACGACCAACGTCAAAAACACTGTGTGAGCTCAAACGCAATCGTTATTAAATGAATGTTTAAGCTAAATGAAATCAACTGAGAGGCTTACGCAGTGCGTTGAAGCTCTTCGTGAATCTGCATCAGGATGTCGCACAGCGCTGCGCTCCAATCCAGTTGGACTAGGCGCGTGGCTTCGGCTAGCAGCGCGTCATCGGCTTGCTGCACGGCCTCGGCTCGGGCGGCTTCGGCTCGGATTCGCTCTTCTGCCGCTCGCGCTTCGTTGGCCTCCCGCTCGAGGTACCGCCCATGCATCTCGTGCAGCGATCTGCCAAACAAGCAGAAGAAGTGGCGCACGCGGAGGTCTGGGTCCGGGCCCGGCCCCGAGACCAAGAACCAGTTGACGACTCGGGCGGCCTGCTGCGTGTTGCCGGTCAGCCGATTACGTTCCATGCTCTGAACAAAGCGAAGTCGGGCTGCGCGGCTTTCGCGGGGGAACCCGTGCACGAGGACCAGGTCGCAAATGTCTTCGCGCGGCGTGGTTGCCATCCCGATGCCATGAAAACGGGCATCGAGGTCGGCCATAAAGACGCGGTCCTATGTCGCGGTGAGTCCCCCGAACTCGTAAGAGTGTCTTACCTCTTCGGCGGTGAACCGGTCCATCCTTGCTTCGCAGCGCAAAACGAAAAGTGGCCACCTTTTGCCTTGGTGTACAAGGTCTCGAAATTGAATACTGAGGTTCAAGTCCAATGCATTCGCCTAACCAGTACCATCGTAAAATGGAACCCGCGTGCCCGCGGTCGTCAGCCGATCCTTCAACCGCACCACCGACAACGTGGTACGTGGACAGACGACTACTTGTGCGAATTCATTCCCCGCACCAGCTGCAGGTATGTGGTTGCAACGGACGCAGCTGCAGGTTGGTTGTCATCGCCATGCCGTTCAAGTCGCTAGCGGTGCGGACGCCTGTGATTGGCCCTTTTTTAGAAAGACGATGGCGGCCCGCCAATCAGAGCCGCCAAAAGATCGCGACCATGTACTGCAGCTATGATCGAGCAACAAAAGAACGGGGAAGCCCACCGCAAAACGTGTGTCACCGACCGCAAGCGCAGCCAGAGACTTGGCATAGCAAGAGCCCGGCGCAGAACGCCTTCTTTGCTGCATCTCGGCGGCTCGAAACATCGATGGGTAGTGGGACTAGTAAGATAGGCCGTCTTCGACACACAGAACTTGCTCTGACGCTCGTCGAATCGAACGAACCAAAGTGGCACGGATCGCCGGCGCGTAGCAACGGTTGCATGCCTCTGGAAGGATGCTAGCTCATTGCTTGCGCCGATACGCGCGGTCATGTGAAGTGGATAGGCAACCATCGACAGTTGCTTGGGCCCACCGCACCGAGTAGTAATACATCATGCTGGGCCTTTGCGTTTGCGCTCGCGGTTGTAAAGCTAAGCGAGCGCACTCAGGCGTAGGCCGTACCACAAGCTACAAATAGAACGGTTGATCGCATCGAGCGTGGTGCGCATGCAGCTGTACAAAATAGTACTATTACCATGGTCCGGAACTGGTGCGAGGACGAGTGGTCGGTGGGAATCGTGATCACGGTCGAAAGTTTCGCACGTGGTTTCGCTCCATTCGTACCGACAACTAATGCCCATAGACTGTTCAGGCGCCGGCGAGATGCATAAGCACGACCATGAAGCACGACTGTGTTGCTTCTGCTTCAATCCACCAGCCGTTCTGATGGAAGGTATCGGGATCGCAAGGACGTATTTTTCTTCCTTTGTTTCTACAACTCGTCGACAAACGATCGGTGGGTGGCTACTGGGTGGCTACTCTCATTGCTTCTCCGAGCCGGCTTGCTCGGCGAGAGACGTGCAGCTGCGTTCAGTGGTCCTGCCGCCGCTCTTGACGCGATTTGGTGCGCTGTTGACGTCACCCTTCAGCGCTTCGAGAAGGGTTTCCAGACAGACGCGGAAGTGCATCGATGACCATGCCATGTCATCTCTTTTACCCGGAACCTATTATATTAGTATAACCACTGGCACATAGATGGTGGTTAGGGGACAAGTCAGGCGAGGGTAGGTATAGGGTAACACGTGTACAACCCGTACCGCAGCAGAGAGCGCTAATCCGGAGGCTATCCGGAGGCACGGCCGGAGACGACTAAACGCACCCAAATATATGTCCACAGCAGTGTCCTGGGTTGCTCCCGCCGAGGTTGTATCGCAGCGTACTTGTGGACGGCACGCACAGCCGTGTTTCTACTCGTATGGTTCAGGAAGACACGCCGCTAGTCTTTTTGAAACGTCCACCACCATTGTCCCGGTGGTGTAGCGTAGGTGGCGTCGGTTTAGACTCAGTGGCCTGGCCTTTCTCACACAATGGGTCGGCGTCATCATAGACAGCGATGGACGGAAACCGAGAGCAACAGGTCGCACTACCTCATGTGCTCTGCGATGATCTCACAACGCGATAGGCCGACGAGCTAGAAGCGCTTCAAGTCACTACCACGTACGACCTCGGCGCGCTCACCTTGTCGTTTGTAGGCCATTTACGGCGACGACTTTACATGGGCCGACGCTACGGGTGAAGCGCAGACGTCGTTCTTTATGGCCGTGCCCGGGGACTTTTGCCTCCAGCTGCTCGTGCACTTGCCGGCTGCATACCCGTCGCACGAGCCGCCGATCGCCGAGGTCTACGAGTCGTTTGGCGTCACGACGGCGCAGCGCGACGAGCTTCTCGCCGACTTGGTACGTCGGCGGCGTCGTGGCCTTGACAACTCGACCTACTTGTCTGGTAGCACGCCATTTACGAGCGCAGCGCCGGCCAAGTGTGCTTGTACGAGTGGATTGAGAGCGCCCGAGAAAAGTTTGGCGCCTTTACAACGTTCGAGCCCGAGTCGCTCGCGACGGCCGAAGTCGATTGGGACGCGATTGCACGCGGCGTTCCAGACGCGCCCGTCGACGCGCCGCCCGCGCCATTTCTCTCGCTCATCAAGCGTGGCGAACCGATCACGGACCGCAAAAGTACCTTCCAGGTCCGCTTTAATCGCTCGCGAAACTGAAAGTTGACACGGCTTCATGGAGTAGGCGCATGCCGTGGCCGTGCACTCGGTGGACGAGGTGCGCTGCTTCATCCTTGCGATTGCCTTCGAAGCAGCGTGTCCTCAGAAAAGGCGATGCGATCGCGTAGGTGAACGCGTTCGTCGAGTACTTGCTCCAGGATCGCAAGATCGCGCGAGCCACCCACAACATGCTGGTACATAACCATCTCCATCGAGGTTCACATAGTATTGCCGTAGGCCTACCGCATCGTGCAAGGCGCCAACATCATCAAGGACTGCGACGAAGACGGCGAGCACGGCGCCGGCAGCAAGATGTCCCACTTGCTCGAGATGGTGCACGCGGAGAACGTGGTACGCATGGCTGTCATGGAAATGCTTCGACGATGTGTCCTAGGCGGTGCTCGTGACGCGCTGGTATGGCGGCATTCAGCTCGGGCCCGACCGCTTCAAGCACATTGCCAACGCGGCCCGCAACGTCCTCGAGACGCATGGGTTCATCGCGACGAGAACGAAGAAGTAGACATCACCGGGGTGCATGACCGCAGCCTTTCTGGTGGCACAAATATTAGGATTTCGACGACATTATTACACGGTTAGCCGTACAGCTGTTGCTCGTCTTCCGAGAGTTTGAGCAGCGCGAGGCCGCGCACGCATGCAAACGGCGTAAAGTCGGCCATTTCTTTTGCTTTTTTGACCTTTTTCTTGGCCTTTTTCTGCTTGGATTTTTGCCGCTTGCGCGCGGCCGCGGCTTCCGCTTCCGAATCGTTTTCGTCGTCGTCGGCATCGCCCTTGTACGCATCGCTCTCGTTGCCAGCATCGATCGGCGCCTCATTCTCAATATCCTCGTCGTCTTCGGCCATGTCCCGTGTCGGCGGCTCGACGCCAACCGGTGCAACGTCTTCTTCTCGTACCATGTGTTCGATGTTTGGTGCTTCGACTTCGACCACGTCGCCGTCGTCGTCGACCGTCGTGCGGGGGGGCAGGCGTCCAAAATCCTGGAGCCAAAGATGCCGGACGTGTTCGTGCGACTGTACCAGCGAGGTAAAATGCGCATCGAGCGCCAATGCCGGTGGCTGCGGTAGTCGGGAAAACACCATGGAGAGGATCATGTCGAGGACGCCCGTGTTGCCCGAGTCCAAACCCGCCTTTGTGTACGTAGCGGCGTCTGAAAACTTGGCCGGCGGCGCCGGCGGTGCGAGAAAAGTTTCCAACAGCGGCGCGAGCTGCGTCTCGACGCTCTCGAGCTGCATCTTGTCGAGACGCCGGCTCATTGCATTCTTCTTCCCTGGCACCGCGAGCTTCTGCAGCAGCGAGTCTCGCAGACCCGAGAGCTACGATCGCATGAGGTCCGAGTCGAAATGCCATTCAAAGCAGGTACGTTTTGAATGTCGAGGCGAAGCTGCGCGTCGGCGGCATCTTTCACGTCTTGCTCGAACGCCGCCAAGTACTCGAGTTCTTCGAGCACCTGCGCCTTCCACTTGATGTCGCGGGACGTTTTGGCCATGTACTCCTTGATGTGGTTCACGCTCGCCCACTGCGTTGGCCGCTCAATGACCGCGAGGAGCTCGCTCAGTGGCACTTCGTCATCGACACGCGCCGGGTAGTCGACGGTCGCCCACACGTCCTTGGACTGCCCGTGCAGGTAGGCCAGGTACGACTTGCAGGCGCCGTACGTCGTATGGATCGCAATCTCTTGTTCAAAGAGCGTTTCAATCACGTACGAAAACTTGGACGAGTCAAAGACGTCTTGGATGGACGCCGAGACGCGCGCCGCGTCGTCGTTGGTGGCGAGCGGCGCGCCCATATGCTCGAGGCTCAAGCGCGAGAGGTTCACGAGCAGGAGCGGGAACGCATCTGGAAACGCCTCGAGGTCGTCCTGCCACGCGCCCATGGTCGTGTCTTCAATCGGTGCCACCTGCAGCAGCACGTCGACCTTGGTCTCCCACGACTCGTCCTCGTCGCTCTCCCACGCGTCCCGAGCTGGCGCCGGCGCAGACTGCGCGAGCGACGCGGCAAAGGCGGCGGGCAGCTTGAAGGAAAGGCTCAGGCTAGCGTTCGTGGCGACGGCCACCGGGCCCGCGCGCGGCTTGCGGGTCAGCGTCTCCATGCGTGCGACTCGGCGGTTTGGTTGGCGCTTGGGCTGGATGTCCGGATACGGCGCCGGACGCTGATTGGTGCCAATCCGGCAATCATCTGGTCGCATCGGATTTCCTGCGCGACGCGCGCCATGCCCACGTGATGGACGCGCGCTTCAAGCCACCAGCATATTGAACAAAGCATTCCAGTGCATTTGCATAAAAGCCTGGCTCTGCTCCGCCATCAGAGTCTACGGCGTACTGGCGAACGCAAAAATCGCTGCCTCCGGACATCAGAGCACCAATAGCTGCACCAATGGTGTATAGCATCGATCTTGCGCTGCTTGGACGCGCCAGGATAGTTGAGATATTGATACAGAGATACCCTGCCAAGCAGGTGTCTCGGCTAGCGTGCACGCGAGGTTGAAGCTCGTCAAAGGATCGGCAACCCCGATTGACAAGCTTGCTCACGAGAGGACTTGCCGCAGCGACTACGTACCGTGATTGGCTGAAATTCTGAAAATAGCATAGCGAAGTGTCCAATCCAGTTGGGCTTGCGTCAACATGAGCGAGCTGCCGCGGACAGGCCATCAGGTCCACGTCGACCTCCTCGCCCTCTTTCCGTCGCCTCCAAACTACCAATGGGATCTCGAGATCGTGGCGCACGCTGAGCGATCTCTCGCGTCGTCGCTGCCTGCGGACGACGACAGCCTGCTGGACCTTCTCAGAGCGCAGCACGGCGACGGCCTCGTGCTGGCCGTCGCCCTCGCCATCGTCGCCGTGGAGCAGCGTCTCGTGCATGCCGCCGACACCGGCGCGCTACTGCTGGCGCTGCACGACTGCCAACGCACTCTTCTTCAGCGGCCATACCCGGACGATACCGCGCACCGGGTCGGCATCATGCTATTGACGAGTCGGCATTTGCCGGCGCTCGGCGCGCTGCGCACGCCCGAGAGCACCGTGCTCGAGATTGAAGGCATGCTCCACCTCCTTGCGGCAAGCTTGGCGTCTGGTGTCGCACTGCCCTGCCGTCTTCCTGTCGCGGCCCTCTGCCACGATGTAGTGAACGCAACCGCGACGCTCCCAGCTCCGCTCGTGCCGCGACTTCTCGAGAGCGTTCATGGCGGTGTCGCGGCGGCAATCCAAAGCCTCTACGCCATCTACCCCGCCTTTCTCAAGCATACGTGGCCATCGACGTCGTCGTTCGTATCTTCCTTTCACGACATGCTCTCGTCGGACGTGCCCGCCGAGGCGCTGGCACCCCTCGCTACTGCGCTGCCCCCGCTTCGCGTCTTGACCGTCGGTGTGGCCGTCGCATGTCTTGACCTTGTTTGCAATGCGTCCCTTGCTGCACTGGCGCTGGCGTCCATCGCTCACGTCGCCTGCGTACCGAGCCCCGACGCCGAGGCGCCGCTGCTGCGCAAGCTTCAGATGCGCCTTGTCACGACGATCCCGCCGTCGCAGGTACAGCCACCTCCATACGATGCAATATAGTACGATAGCTCTTGTGTGTAGATGGAGCAGCTCGTAGTGCCGTTGCAGGTCGCCCTCGACGCGACAGACGCGCTCGTGCCACTGGATGCCGACTGCATTCGGGGCCCGCAGCTCGCTTGCTACTTGCAGCTCCTGCCTTTTCTGCCAGCCGACATGACATTCCCCTTGGCGCTCCGTGGCTTGCGCCACAACCTTGTGGAGGTTGCCCTCGCGTGCCACCGAGCGATTCGGTCGCTGCTGCTCCAACGGCGACCTCGGGGCGCGGATGTAGGCACTATTTCTGCATATCCACGTGATGCCATGACGTGATTTTAGATGGCCGTGGTTTACGTCGGCCGACTCCTCGCCGGGTACCCGACCACGACACCGATCGACGTGCTCACAACGAGCCTCGGCTACGTCCTCGCAGTGGACGACGACGCGGTCCTCGCGTTCCTCGCGCTCGAGATGCAAAAGACCATCCGACGTACGTTTACGACGCAGCCCGACGCTGCGTCGACGCTCGCGCGACTCTTCTTTGAGCTGCTCAAGGTTGTCTCGCTCGAGTCGATGGGCTTCTTCTTGCGCATCGCCGAGCAAATCGTGTTTGCCCATACGTCGCTCGCGACAACGCTCTACGAAGCCATTTCGACGTCGTGCGAAGCGTCTCGCCGCACCCTCTTGACCGAGTGGTACCTCGGCTTTTACCCACAGCTCGAGTCGGTGCCGTCCATGTTGTAATCGCTTCCCCGTACAAAAGTTGAAGGGAACGCATTTCAAAACAACTCAAGTGCAATCTCGGCCGACTCCCTTATGTGGAGCGAGTGACTCCCAGCCGTAGGATTGAAGCGCCGGTAGAAACCATCGTCTTGCGACTCTCTACTAGTCTTGAAAGCTCATGGCAGACGACCGGTAGCCTGTGAGCCCAGCGTCCTCGGCGGCGCCCTTATTGCAGGAGGAGCTGTCTGAGGTATCTTGGGACAGATGGGCGCGATGGGATTGGCCACGCTTCTCTCTTGCGTTTTGTATGCCTGGTATGAATTTTATTGTATTCGATTGGTGCGGAAAACAAATTCACATGCTGGGTGCCACCGCTCGTTCGCCGGCCGAGTTCGCGTTCACATGGGGCGACGCCGGCCTCGTCGTGCGCGATGCCTTCATCGGACGCCTCGTCTTCCGACCGGGCAAAGGCGCCAAGAAGTCGGCCGTGTCCTTCTGGGAAGCCAAGAAGATGCTCGAGACGCTGGCCGTCGCCTTTGACCACGCCGCCGTGCTGCCGTCGCCCAAGCTCCAGGGCACGACGGTCGTCGCGCTCACGTTCTTTGAGCGCGCGCGGTTTGAGCACGCACTGCGCACGGTCCGCGAGATGCCCAACCACACAGTGTACGCAAACGGCGACGCGATCGAGATCCAAGTGGCCGAGATGGACGCGCCAGGGACATCTTCCTCGAGCCCGCTGCCCGCGACGGCCATGCACTTTGAGAAGAAGATGAAAGGCTGCCGCCCCGACACCGTCCATCTGAGAGGGCTCCCGGCCAAGTGGTTTGATGTCAACACGGCCGACTTTGCCGATATCGACGCCAAACTCACGCACTACAACCACCCGGCGCACAAGCTTCCGCAGCTCTTTGCGCTCTTTGGCGCGCTCGCGTACAGTGTGCCCATCCCCGGATCTTGATCCTGACGCGCTTGCATGCATAGGCACGTGGAAGTGGTGCCACCGCAGGACGTTGCGGACGACGGCATCTTGGCGACCGTGCATTTCGACGTGTACGTGCAGTTCAAGGCCTACGACAGCGTCGTTGCGATCCTCGAGTGCATGCAGGGCCAGCGCGTCTTGTGCCACGTAGGCGATCCTTTGTATCATCGTCGGCCTCTGATATCGCGGCGTAGACGGCGCATCCAAAATTGATTGTGCCGCTTTCCATCCAGCTCGACACGACCGAGTACCTCAGCGACGCCAACATCCGCCAGCGACGGTGCGTTTACAAAGAAAAGATGCCTTAAATGCATACCAGGACGTAGGTTTGCACGCGAGCAGCGACAGATCCAGCTGGCCCACGAGTTGGTCGAGGCCGAGCAGCGCGCCAAGGCGCTCGCGGCCGAAGTCGCAGCAGCAACCGCTGCGATCGAACCACTGGCCGCCCGTCTCAAGGTCGCCGAAGCCCGCGCCGAGGCTGCAGTCGATGCCGTCGACGCCAAGATGATCGTACTGCTCAAGCACGCGCTTGGCTCGCTGGACGCCGTTCGGCAAGCGCCGTCTGCGCGCGGCGTCGAAGTTTTCGAGCTCGCACTCGGTGGGTTTGAAAGCCACCTCAAAGTGCTCGACGACACCCGGAAGGCCAAAGAGTTTGCTCTCGCGCGCAAAAAATGGCAGCAGCGCGTCGCTGAGCAGTGCGAGACGAGCACGGACCACGTCGCTGTCATTGAAGCCAAGTTTGCCGATCGTGTTGCGGGCTCGGCCTTTCTGGAGCACCCGGCGCTCGTGGCCGACATCCGCGCGGCCAAAGCTGCGATTGCCGCGGCCCGGTCCATCACGACGCACCCGATCTCGATCGACGACGAAGCGACCGAAGACGACGTGCGCGCGTACTTGGACAAGTTGCGCGACGACGTGGACGAAGCCGACTGCATGGTCGACGCAGCGTTGGCTCGCCTTGCGATGCTCGCCGAGTACCACGAGTTGCAAAAGCAGGTGACGGACGCCGACGGCCGCGCCGACGCGCTCCTGCAGGCGCTCGACTCCGCGTGGGGCGACAGCACGGCCACGCTCCTTGAAAAGATCCGACACATTCGGTCAGTCCTTAAGCGCGCGGCACGTCTACGTGCACTGTCGGCGGCGTTTCGTGCGGCCAACGACGACAGCGAGGAGCTCTGTGCCTCCGATCCTTCCCTCGCACCTCTCGCCGCGGCGGCCAAGGTGCTTGTAGAGTCTCTCGATGCCGACAGTGCCGACGACGCAGCGCTCACGGCGTGCGATGACGCCATCACGGCATTTGCAACCGCAGCGAAGGCCATTCGCGCTAGTACGGTGCTTGTAGTATGATTGGATGGATGCTCACGCGAATGACTGGTGGTGTAGCGCGGGCCGAGGCAGCGGCGGCCGAGAAGGCTCGGAGTGAGTCGTTTGCGGGCATGCAAGCAGCCAAGACGGCGGCCATCGCTAGCGCTCGCCAACGGTACACGCCTCGAGGCTCTTGAGGGTTGTTTGCTGAAGTGAGAAATGTCGCGTGTAGGCTCCAAGCGTGGCAGGAAGAGGTGGCGGCCGCCCACAATCTCGAGCGAATCACCAGCGTCGTCAAGCGCGCCCACATCCAGAACCGGTGGCCCACGGTCACGTCCATGGATCCGCCCGAGGCAAAGCGCCCCAAAATCGTCCGGTCGTCCTTGATTGTGCGACAGACGCCGCCCCGTGTGCTCTTGAGCAGCCGTGTTGTTGCCATTCAAGACGATGGCCGCGCGCTGTCGCCGCGATCGCTCGCAGCCGAAAAGGTCGCCCGTGAAGAAACCGCGCTCCGGACCCAAGTGATCGAGAGCCAGAAGCGCAAGGAAGCGATTGCGTGTCTCCAGCGACTCAAGGAGAAGGAGCTGCGACAGCAAGCGCTCAAGAGCATCGCCGAGCGAAGCTCGACCAAGACCACCGCCGACGACGACGACAACACTTAAGTGTACTTATTACACTCGTAAACAAACATCAGTAACACAAATAACACAAGGCTTCCTTGTCTTTAAGGGTTCGTATTGCTACATGGACGGCTTCGAACAGCAGCGCCGAGGGAAGGTACACTAGAATTCCTTGAGACGACGGATGGCAGACGCGCCAGAGCATGATCCCAAGCTCTGCGACACCAATAGCCAATCAGCGGGCGCCAAAGGCAGCGAAGTCCAGCGACGTTTCTGTATCAGCAATCGAATATATACTTAACGGTATGTATTTAGTGTATATTTGAGTCGTTTTGAATGTCGGGACCAACTTGGTCGTAAAAAGCCCGCAAAGTGCAATTTGCCAACATGACGATCGCTTGCGTGTCGACGCTGCCCGACGTCCTCTCGTCGGTGAACGCTGTTGCGTGCTACAAGGACGCACTCGCGCTGCTAGGAACAGCAACGACGTACGCAGAGTTGCCTCCCGTCCTCTCGAACCTCCTGCTCAGCCTCGGCGTGGGTGTCGTCTGTTTTCTGCTGCAAGTGGCCACGGGCAACTACTCGCACGTGGACCGTCTCTGGTCGCTCGTGCCCGTGGCGTATGCGTGGAACTACCTCCTCGTCGGCTACAGCCGCGGTCTTGGCATCGACACCCGTATGAGCGTCCTCGTCGGTATCATAACGCTCTGGGGCCTGCGCCTCACGTACAACTTTTACCGGCGTGGCGGCTACTCGTGGACGGGCGAGGTGCGTGCTTTTACATGTAAAGGTTTAGCCTCACGGTCCATGTAGGACTATCGCTGGGAGTTTGTCCGCAGCGTCGTGCCCAACCCCGTGCTCTGGCACCTCTTTTCGTTCTCGTTCATTGCCATGTACCAAAACATTCTGCTCAGCATCCTCACGTGCCCGCTTCACATGGTCTTCAACGCGTGGGTCGCTGGCAACGTGAGCTGGTCGGTGTGGGACTCGGTCCTCGCTCTCGCGCTGCTTGGCCTTCTCGGGCTCGAAACGACGGCCGACCAGCAGCAATGGACCTTCCAAGAAGCCAAGTTCGTTCTACACACCACGTCTCGCCTCAATGGTAACTCATATGACTGACGTACAGGTGGGCGCAGCTCAAGGCGGGCAAGACGTTGGCGCAGCTGCCGCCGCCGTTCAACCTCGGTTTTTGCACGACGGGCCTCTTTGCGTACTCGCGCCACCCCAACTTTTTTGCGGAAATCAGGTATTGCTATTCTACGGTGGCTGTGTGGTACGAAATGCGTGACTAGTATTTGGTGGGTTGTCTACTCGTTCTCGGTTGTGGCATGCGGCTCGCACAACTGGACGCTCGTCGGTGCGCTGCTGTTGCACCTGCTCTTCCAAGGCAGCACGCGCCTCACCGAGTACCTCACGATCCAAAAGTACCCAAAGTACGCCACGTACCAAAAGCTCGTCTCGATGCTCCTGCCAATGGCCACACCCGTGGCCAATCTCCACGAAAAATCGACTAAGAATCTTCATGCAGCGTCGTGGACCTCTGTCTTGTTTTCCGTGCCATCGGACTCTTCATAATTGTACGTGGTCCGTATGGTCTGTGCTTTCGATGTACAGAAGACGAGACCGACCAAGCGTGCCTTGCACCTGCGCCGCGCCCGGGCGGCGTCCAAGGCCAAGCGACAAGCTCTTACGCAGGGCTGTGTTGACACACCAAGTGTCGATGGGATCGTCAGTAGGCAAGAAGAAGAAGTTGAGGAGAGCGACTGTGGCTAAGGCAAGGAAGACGATTGTGCAGTCAACCCGTACGCCCTTGATCCACCACATTTACACCAACCAAGCCTATCCATTAGGACAACCAGCCCGATGTGTACGCCGTCGACGTCGACAGCGACTACGAGCTCGATCTATGGGTCGAACTCGATGCGTGGGGTGATGTTGCACAGCCAATGATCGTGTCCGAGGTCACAGCGGCTTCATCCTTGGGTCTTTCGTACCTCAAAGACATCAAAAATTTGCGAAAGGCATGGGGCAGTGTCAAGAAGACACTGCAACGTGAACGGAAGCGCAAGGAGGATAACGTTAAACTCGTCGCCAAGTTGGGCCACAAGACGCTCTGGGACCCTGTACAACGGAAGAGCCGTACTCGTGCTGTGTTGTCAACTTGGTCGACCATACCCGACTTTGCGGCCCAGAAGTCGATGCTCGAAGAGGTGTATGAAGGTACCGACCACGTGATGGACCTCCTCCCCAAGTTCCATCCCGAGTTCAGCCCGATTGAAAACTATTGGGGAAGCGCCAAGGCCTACTGCCGCCAACACTGCGACTACACGTTCAAAAGCCTACGCGAAACGGTGCTAGCAGCTCTTGCTCAAGTCCCTCTGCAGCATGCTCAGCGCTTTGAGCGTCGTTGTCATCGGTACATGCAGGTGTACGAAGCCGGCCTACCACCGCATCTTGCAGAGTTCGCTGTCAAGAAGTACAAATCTCATCGCTCGATTCGTCGGAAGACCTCATGGGGCTAATGGAGGCTGAATTTGCCGATAGAAAACACTAAAATTGACTTATTTACTTTCGTTTCGCTCTCTTGCTTGTCTTCGCAGGGCGTTTGGGGCATCCTGACGGCGCTAGCCTCGACATTAGGTATGGAGAAAATTTCGAATGTTTTGTCCACTTGAGCACCCCATTGTCGGGTTAAGATGCGGGCCACTATAGCTAGGACTGGAGATGAAGCGTATCAATCAATCAAACGTGTTCGCGTTGAAATCAGATTAACAAAAACTAACTCAAAGACTAGGTGAAGCGTATGCCTGATGTATGAGGACGCCAAGACGCGGTCCGTTCCTCTACCACACGTCAATTCCCACAACTCAAACTCAACGTAGGGCCCATACGTTTGAGTTTGAGTTGTGGGAATTGACGTGTGGTAGAGGAACGGACCGCGTCTTTGCAAATGCCGCATCTAAAAAAATAGAGGCCCCAGGAGACTACCCCTAATAATTAATATGAGGCCAGGATGCACTTTTGAAGGAACCGGGGCACATAGAAATGCGCCGCCGAGGTCCGGGGCGCGAGAGCATCAGGGATGGTGTGGTGCCACGTCACGGAGGCGGCCCGCGGCACGATGACAGCAGCACGGTACTTGTAGGACATTTGAAACGAAAGTGAGCGACAGCATACTACATTATTCATGGGGTATAGCTGGTAGATGACTGCATTCGAGGATCGCTTTCTCAAATGCCGTTGCATTGTGCCCGTTCTTGAAATCGTTGGCCTTGTAGAACTTGTAGAGCGGGCATTCCTTGGCATCGTTCGTGCGGTGAGCACGATTTGGATGGTCGCAGATAGGGCACGGTACATAAGCTTCGGGGCGTGGTTCGCCTTGCGCTCGACGAAGCTCGTGAGGCTGGTGGTCGCATAGACATCCACGCAAGCGCTCTGCATGGGCGACACTTCAACGAGCACTTGGTCGTAGTCGGTGCCCAAAGCCGCTTCATACTCGCTGCGGGTCGCATTTGTGTTACTGCTCGTGGCACTCTTCGGCTTGACTTCGAGACGGGGCGCGCTTGCTTCGGCGAGAGCGGCCAAGCACCGGAGGAGCGGCTAGAACGAGTTCAGCGACGGCAGCGGCGCCGTTTTTCAGCCGTTCCGCAAGCGAAACCAACCGACGAGCCCGTATTGTCCGGATAAATCAACGATATCCGGATACGATATCCGGATGCTCTAGCTGGATCAAAAGATCGCAACACGCTGGAAAGCCGAGGATGGACGTCGTGGAAGCGCAGCGCCTCCTGCGGGCCCGGTACCAGCAGCCGGCGAGGACGTTCTTGGACAGCGACGCAGCGTACGCCGAAGTGTACGGGCCATGGTTGACCGATGCGTACGTCTTTGGCGCCCCATCCTGCCAGATCGTGCACACGAACCCGGCGCTCACATCGGAAAAGGCGGCCGAGATTGCTGCGCACCGCGAGCAAGCTCTGGACGCCGAACCAACTGATCACGTGGTGCGTCTGTGGCCTGGTGCGCCGCTGTCGATCGACATGCTGCATGCGCATGCAGCGACGTACCTCGAGCTCTTGGACCACACGCCGCCCACGACGACCGAGATGCAGCTGTCGCAGCTCCTGTGGCACCTTCTCGCGAGCAATCTCTTGGCACTGGCGGTTGCTTCCAGCGTGCCCGAGTTGCGCTCGTTCTTTCTCGAACTTGTCGTGCGGCAACCGGTGCCGCGCCCGCAGAGTCTGGCGTTTGCGCTGCTTGGTCGCGTGGGCACCGCCGAATTGATCGACGCCGATCTCTCGATGGAGCTCTTCCACTTGGCGCTCGAGATGGCCGAGCGCACGGTTGCGCTGGCAACGAACGACGACAAGGAGCTGGTGTCGGGCATGAGTCGCACGCTGCTGTCGCTGACGCACCCATCCGACGCTTGGGTCCTCGATCGACTCGTGCCGTTGTCGTCGTCTGGCGTGATCTTGTCGCTTCTCGATGGCGTCCACGACATTCCAACGCTCGATTTGCTCGTCGAGGGTCTCGTCTTTGGCCTCTACCTGACGCGACTCCTCGGGCTCGAGACTCATCATCGGTGCACCGAGCGCCGGAGCAGCGAGACGCTCTCGCTTCGCCGGGCGAGCAGCCATCGGCTGGCGTCCGTGTCGTCGCTTGTTCTGCCGACGGACCCGACGTCCGGGCGCCATACCTTTGATCTCGGGCTCGATGTCTTTTTGGCGTCGCCAAAGCTCTTGGAGACATTGCTGCATCTGTACTACACGACGCCGTCGATCGCTGTCCAGCGCTTGGTGTTTATGGTGCTCTTTGACGCCACCAAGGCCAACCTGCCAGTGCCAGTGCACGAAGCCGAGTGGCTCTACGAGGCGTGTCTCGCTGCTGGCGTCCCAAGCCGCCTCGCCATGTACCCGTCGAGTCGTCCGTCCTCGCCGCTGAGCGGCAGCGTCTTGAGTGACCTCCATCTGGCCTTTCTCGACGAGCTCTACCATGTTGTAGTCGATTGCTTTCGTTATAGCAACTGGATGGTTTGGTATGTGTAGATGCGTCTCGACGAGTATTTCAAGCAGAGCGCGGCACTCGCAAGTGCCCTCAAGACGGCGCGTGTCCAGACGCTCGACGCTGGGCATGCGACGCCCGATGCGATCGCGTTGGGTAAAGTATTTGCGCTGCTCGAGTCGCGCGACGAGGCATACAAAGGCGAGGTACCATATGACCGCTGCTGGTCTGCTTCACCAACGAGATGGTAGCGCTGGCTGGCCGAGCTTCTCTGCGATTTAAACCGACTCGGGTCGCCTGTGTTTGGCCAGGCCAACGACGGCGACGAGGTATGCGACCGCAGCAGGCTCCGCGCCGCCGCCCGCACCAAATTTTGGGGAGCGCTTCGATCCCCGGTCGAGCGTCGCCGCGTCGCAATGGTGCATGTTCTGGCAATCGTCGTTCAACGACGCTTTGGAGGCGCACACGTATGTCGTTTCGCTTGTCGAGTGCGCTCTAAAAGACTCGAATAGAGCGAGCCTTTGCTGCTCGACGTCAACAGCGTCGTTGCTGCGCTTCTCGACAACAAGGAAACCTCGCCTCAAGTGCTCTTGCCGGTCCTTCGAGTCATTTTCGAGCTGTGCACGCGCCGTCCAAGCTACTCGTACGCACGATCGCGGCCATTATATACGCTGACACCACCTCGCACGCTCCTCGCAGCGCTGCGGCATGGCGTCTTTGCCCTGGACGTTAGTCTGCTTCGCGATATCTCGAGTGACATTTTTCTCGTCGGTCTCGAAGCCATCACAAACGAGGTCGTGGATACTAGCGATGACATCAGCATCGTCATTGCGCTCGTGGTCAAGCATCTCTTCCACGATGTGCACCTCTTCTCGCGCGCTGGTGGTCTCTTGCGGTTCCTTCGTTTCCTCGACCACTCGAATCCGACGATTGCATTGTACGTATCAATGTTACCATGTGTCGAGATACTATCAAGTTGATACAGACTCGTATCGGAGCTCGTCGTGGCCATGATCAAGACGAGTCAGAAAGAGCAGTATACGCAGTGTCTCAAGGAGCTACAGGTGCTCGCGCAAGAGACCGACGACGAGCGTTGTCTTGCCAACCCGTATGTGCACTGCCGAAGCCTGCTCCGCCGCTTTTACGATATGCATTTCCTCCCGCTTGACGGCGCGGTATAATGCAGTTGTGATTCAAGCCTTTGCGTCGGCGTTATTGTCGTCGACGAAGAAGAGACGCCGGTAGCCGCAGTCGCCGCGGTTGCCTGGCCCGCCGTTGCCGTCGCTGCTGGCATAGTCGCGCGCACAGACACAGACGCCTTGGTTTGTGTCGCAGTGGCCATGGTTGGCACACTCGGCATCTTCTTTGGTGCCAGGTACAAGCGTCGTGACGGACGACGGGGACGTGAGCATGAGCGACGCATCCAGCAGTTGCACCGGTGGAAGCGCACCAAAGTCCTGCGTGAAGGTCAGGATCATGCTATTGCCGCCGACGCAGGCGCCTGTATCACTTCGTCAAATCGATATCGAGGCAGAAATAGGCTTACCTGTGTGCGAGTATTGTAGAGAGAGGCCATGAATCGTCGAAAGACTGAGCAGCGCGGTTTGGACTTCGAGGACAGGGGCGTTGAACGGCAATGGGTCCGTGTACGCGCCTCGAAAGCCTAATTGAAAGACTCCGGACGACGCTGCACACGTGACTTGTTGAACAGCGTTTGTTTGACCCATTGTAACTGGGTCATCGCCGGTGGGGCACACCCCTACCCCTCCATTGAGTTTTGGTCGAGTCATTCCAGTGGAGGGTACGCTGGGTGCAGTCGTGGCCAGTAAATCCGTCGTCGCACTTGCACCCTTGAATCATGGCCGCGTCCCACGTCGCTGGGTTGTTGGGATTCGCGCCGTAGGTGAAGCCTGCGGGTAGACCTTGAGTCGTCGTGGACGCCGCCAGCTCGGCGAGTGTGAGGCAGGTGCCGTGGCCCGAGCATGGAGCGGCACTATCAGGACCATACGGACAATCGACTAGGCAAATTTGTCAATAATGACAGAGTGTTGTATGGCGTTGCGCACGGAGCTCGCAGGCGGCGCCGGTAAAAGGAGGAAAGCAGGTGCACATGCCCGTCGTCGAATCGCAGAGGCCCGCGTTGGAGCACGTCTCTTGCGTTTTGTGGGCGACATTGGTCGACGTTGGCAGCGCAAACCACGAAGCCCCCGTCGTGCATGTGCCTACAAGAAGTTTCCCTTACAGTATGCAAGCATTCGTCTTCGTACGCTGGGAGCAGTCGCCGGACGTCCAGCCCGGTGAGCACTTGCACGCAAAGCCAGGGGGGCCGGTACACATGCCGTGGCCGCTGCATGGAAGGTACCCCGGGCATCCAGAGATAGGGCCACCGTAGTAGTTGGTATTGTCGGGTGCGCCACAGTCGCCGCGAAGACCAACGTTGCCGTAGCCATCGCTCGATCGATAACCTGGCATCGGGTAGAGGTAGCACGAACACGTTCCCTGGCCTACATGGGTGCATGGTACAGCGTGTGCGACGACGAGCGTACTCGTATCGCAGAGGCCGCGATTGCTGCACGCTTGACATTCTTTCGAGCCCCGGACGCTGAGAAAGGTGCCAATGGCCGCGCCGCCATGCGCCACGATGACATTGCCACCGGTCATGCTCGGCAACTTTTGCGCATTCACAGTTTGCACAAGAAATGGCGGCTGTCTACACCCAGCCATGAGATCCTTCAGCAGCAACGGTCGTCGCACGCACGGGCCAAAGCGAGACGTGAACTCGATTGTGGCCACGTTGGAGCCCGCGCTGACGCATAGCTGTGTGCCTTGCGAATATGTGATTTTCAACATGCCAGCACCGCCCAGACCCTGCGTGATACCATATTAGTGCATTCGGTAAGTGCCTCAGTGGCGACGGGTAGCACCTGCAGCAATTGGTGAGCTGCGGCGCCGTGGCAGAGCTTGGAATCGGTGTGGAGAGCTCTCCATTGAACTTGAGCTGGAACGAGCCGACGCCGGTACAGCGCAAGAGTTGCTTCTCGTTGAACTGACCGATCGTCATGGGGTCGTCACCGGGCGGGCATAACTCTGAATCCAATTGTAAGAACAGACTACCGGGATTATATCATCGTACGAAGCGAGCAGTCGGGGCCGCCGGTGCCAGCGTCGCACACGCAACCATGAATCGACGCCGCGTCCCAGACGCCTATGTACGTGAAGCCAAATGGGCTCTTGGCTGCGGCAAACGCTTGCATCGAGAGGCACTGGCCGCTGGACGAGCACGAGGCAAAGCACGCCACTAATACACGCCACATACTCATCGAGAGAAGCACTAGATAGAGACAAACAAGTGGCGCAATTTGTGCCAGTGAAGCCCGCGTCGCAGTTGCAAAGCCCGGTCGTCCGTTTGCACGCACCCCGGTTGGCACACTCGACCAAGTCGTGGATCGAGTCGATGCCAGTCGCATCACCAGCCCACGCTCGACCCATTGGACATCGCACTAGTGAGGTGTGACGACTGCTTAGAGAAGATGGCTTCATACTTTGCGAGCAGTCGAAGCCAAAGCTGCTGCTATCGCAGACGCACTCGCCGAGGACGTTGCAGTCTCCGTGGCCGTTGCAGATGCGTCCACTGAGTGGTGCTATGGGGCATGCACCGTGAATGCACGGTAGCAAAAGTAGCAGCGTCGCCACAAGGGCCTGCCGTCGGACACCAGCGTCGTATCGGGGCGGTTGCATCGAATAACACGTCAAATGCGTTTTATGCGTTAAATGTCGATTTCGGGTTGTTCACGGAACCTTGCTTCCATGGCAGACGACAGCCGACCTTGACGGTTAACATCATGATTATGGCAAGTATATGTGTGCACAGTAGGCCATGCCCGAGGTACAAGTGCGATATAAGGCTGTTTTGATGAGAGCATGTGTCGACGACGACATTTAACCGAAACGGTCGTTGCATGCACCATTTAACGTGCGTTTTTAACGTGCATGTCAATAGCTCGATGAGCCTTCGGACTCCATGGCCTCCCAGGCGCGACCACCGCCGCAGTTTCAAACCGTCAAGTTTCAGATCCGATCAGCATTTGCTGCAATATACTTGTATAGCCTTTTGTATGGGGTCCCTTCACCACCACCGGCGCAAGATCGCGCTTCAAACGACGTTTCGATTCCGAGCATCAATCAATGCGCTTCGTCCACCTTCTTGTCGCGCTCAGCCTCAGTGCCTGGGACACCGCCGATGGCACCTGCGCCAACATGTGCTCGGGGCATGGCACTTGCGGCGCTGCCAAGTACTCTACCAGGAGCGATTCGTGGGCTCATGTGTGTCCATGTTCTGCTAGCAAATGCACGTGCTTTACCAATTGGATGGGCGCCGACTGCTCGCGCCGCACCTGCCCGAAGGGCATCGCCTGGTCCGACAAGGCGTCGGCGACCAACACGGCCCACGCGATGATGGAGTGTTCGAACCGTGGGACGTGCGACTACATCAAGGGCATGTGCACATGCGCCGACGGGTTCGCCGGGGACGCGTGCCAGCGAAGTACGACACTCAATTCGTAGTCGACGCTTGCAAGCTGCGTAGGTGTGTGCTTGAACTCGTGCTCGGGCCATGGCATGTGCCAATCGACGGCCATGATGGCACTCGCGTACGGCCGAGACATTGGTACTGGGTCAGGCCCAACGTATACCAACTGGGAAGCCAACTCGATGATGGCGTGCTTCTGCGACTACGGATACCAGGGGCCCGACTGCTCGCTGCGTACGTGCATAT